AGCTGAACACAGAGAGAAGTATCTCCTCCCCCACATACCTCTTTTTTCCCATCACCGTCAAAGTCACACAAGGCCAAGGAATGAACATTATCTCCAGTGACCTGAAAACAAAACCCAGTGTCATGAGCATGCCCTCTTTTTCCACTCAATCTGACTATAATAGCCACAGGGAAGAGAAGATTACAAACCACCAACAGGTGTTATTCAAATTTTGCATATTTTTTTAATGCACAGAATTATAAATATGGATGGTAAAAAACAAACCAAGCTAAATAAAGAACATTTAGAGTAAAAATGAGTCCTAAAGAGAGTGTTTTGTTCTTCATACCGTCCAAAAAAGGTCCTTTCCTTCATGATCGAAACCCTGCAGAGCACAATTTCCACCAATAATCGCAAGAGGAGAGGAAATGTCCCCCAGTGTCCCCAACACAATTGCATTGGCCCCATCTGCCACCTAAGAAGAAAAAAAAATAAAATCTCAGATAACAAGGATGTGCAGGCACACGGGAGGTAACATGTATCCTTATCTGTATTTGGATACTCAAATTCCTCCGTGATCAATGTGAGAAGCCACATGGTCTCCTGAGAGGCAGGTGTATGTCACTGTGGCGTTCGTGTGCTGATGCAAGGCTGAGCGCAGATGCAGGGTACACTCAGGCCCTTGGCGTCACACACTAATCTGCTACAATAAGGTGCTACGAAGTCCAAGGCTCTGTAGGATACTTGACCAAACATTATTCTAGATGCTTCTGTGGAGGTATGTTTAGACGAGATTAACATTTAAATCAGTAGTCTCTGAGTAAAGCAGATTATACTCTATAATGTGGGAGGGCCTCGTCCAATTAGTTGAAGATCTTGAGAGAAAAAAGACTGGTCCCTGAGGAAGGAAGAATGCAGAACACTGCCTTCAGACTGGTGTTTCAACATCAGCTCTTCCCTGGGTCTCCAGCCTGCTAGCCGACCCTGCAAATTTTGGACTTGACAGCCTCCACAACCATGTGAACCAATTCTTTAAAATATATCCCTCCCCACCCCTCTCTCTACATACACATCCTGTTAATTCTGTTTATCTGGAGAACCCTGACTAATACAGTCCTAAACTCAATTCCAGTCTTGTGCAATAACACAGGAAGCGTATCTATGTGACCAAAGATGCTTAGAAGGGCAGGGAAAGCACTCACAGTTAAAGAAAAAAAATTGAATAGCTGGGCTTTATCAAAATGGAAAACTTTTACTCATCAAAAGATACCTACCTGTTGGAATAAGCCACATACTGGGAGAAAATGTCTGTTATATATAAATCTGACAAAGAACTTGTATCCACTATCTCCAAAGAACTTCTACAAATCAATAATACACACAAACTACTAATAAATAAATAGGCAAAGACTTAAACACTTCACAAAGGACATATAAACACGCACAGGAAAGGGTGTTCTACATCACTGGTCACGAGGGAAATGCAAAATGAAAGCGGTTAGCAATCATGACCAAATAAATGACAAGTGGATGAAGCAGCTGCAAATGGCAAAATCACCGTGTTGTTGGACTACAGTACAACAGCCACGTAATAAACCAAAATCCATGTCTGATCTCGTTCAAGCATAACAAAAATGAACATGAATGGGTCAGGGGGATTTTATGGCGATCAAGGGGTATACTTGCCTCTCTGTAGAAAAAATCTGAATTATTGTAGACATCGTAAGCCAAAAGATTCGTCTGTGTCCCCACTAAAAGAGCATCACAGCCAAGTGCAGGGTTCAATACTCCTGCAGTCAGGCAGCTGACAGCCTGGTTGATGTTGAGAAGAGAAACATCAGACTCCAGGGGGCTCTGGTAGACTCTGGGCGCGCTGAAATGCTGGCTCCGTGTATGAGGGTTGTGAATAAAAACCTGCAACAAAACCAGTTCGTTACATTCCCTTAAAATACGTAAAATTAACATACATTTTCTAAAAGACTAGGTTATTAACAGATATCAACATTACCAAAAAGTCACTTTAATCACCCATAAACTTACTTAAAACACCTACAACACAGTTCTGTGCATGGCTGGCTTTCAATCACTATGAATTGTGGGAATCCATGGTTCCTGGCATTGTAAAGAACAAGGTCATGTACAAGATCTAGTTCAGTGGTTCTAACCTTCTGGCCCTTTAAATACAGTTCCTCATGTTGTGACCCAACCATAAAATTATTTTCGTTGCTACTTCATAACTGTAATGTTGCTACTGTTATGAATCGTAATGTAAATATCTGATATGCAGGATGGTCTTAGGCGACCCCTGTGAAAGGGTCGTTCGACCACCAAGGGGGTCGCGACCCACAGGTTGAGAACTGCTGATCTAGTTGCTTACTAGGACAGCTTACATGCTAGGCTCCGCAGGCTGTCAGAGCACTCTGACACACCAAAACGATCCCAGCAAATAAAATAATAAACACTTTAGTATCTTTCAACCAAGCACTGAATGAATTCACTTCCTAACCCTTAAAACAGTCTGGTAGTTAGTAAATCTGTTTTACAGACTTCAACTGAGTCATACAAATCTCAGATATAAAAATAATTTTGCCTCCTTAATTGTCCAGTTTCCCTTCTCAAATGTAAGCGCTAAGGGGGAGAGACTTGTCACATTCACCCTTGCACCTGCAGAGCTAAGAACTGTGCCCAGCCCATAAGACCTCAATAAACTAGGGGCTGAGCTACTATCAATGGGCCCTTCCCAGCAGAAACAATATGAATTTCTGTCTGGCATTTGTCAGTGCTTCTTAACAATAGCAATGAGCATTATTCTTTGCCAGAGCCTGTGCTAAGTGCTTTACTCCATTCAACTAGTTAATGAAAATTATTTTTTAATTATGCATCCCAAGGCATATCATAAGAATATACAACATAAGGGGAAGGGTTATTATATAAATGTTTTAATCATTATGAAATCTGCGCTGGGTCAGAGAACAAGGTCTCTAATCTCATTTTCATGACTTTCTAGTTGAGTGACCTCAAGTATCACTTCAAACCTTTCTGAACCACTAGTCAGTGACGTGGGAGGGATAAAAAATAACAGTTAACAATTAGTGACCATTTCTTATATGGCAAATGCTTCATATATATTAACTTATTTAATCCTCATAACAACCCGATGTTGTAGATACTATTATTAAGTAACTTGTCCCGGGTCATGAAATTAGTAGGTACCAGAGCCAGCGCTCTGGTGCTGCCCTTGGCATTGTTGCAAGAATGCCGAGATGATGAATGTCAATCCTCAACATCTACCACTTTTTAAAAAATTGGTGGCCGTTGAATGACCATGTCTTGTTCATCTCTGTGACTCCCACACCTTGCACAGCACCTGGCACATCTTTTCCCATAAGTTATTCACTAAGTACATAGGTATTCAGTGAATAACTTATGGGAAAAGATGTGAATGTACATGGATACATATCAAAATCAAAAGTGCAATCTGAATCATTTCATTGGGGGGGGGGGGGCGCTGTATATATTTTTTCAAGTTGTGTGGCTCAGGACAGTCTGAGATAATGGAAGGAGTTCAGAGGGAAAGGCAGAGAATCAGGTCTGTTACCACTGCTAACCCTGACCAGTCCCTTCCCCTTGCACAGTTCACTGCTCAGAAAAGCCATTCATGCGAGACCCCACTGTTCATTATTCTGCGCAGGATGGAGAACTACAGGACTACCGACCGGTTGCCGGGCAACCCAAGGCTGGGGGCGGAGCCGGGGGAGGAGGGGC